TAGCATGCCACTGACACGTAATTCTGGATGCAGCCTTGGGATTCAAGATTACTAACCTATAATTTTACATGAATAACTATAATTTTTGTGGTCCCACCTGTCCATCACTGAAGGTTAGCGGACAACGAGGACATCTGTTCTCGTCACGATCGCTCAGATGTCCTCTCATATGAAGTACGAATGCGGCGAACGATGGCAGTACGGCGCAACAGTGCTGACATTCGAGCGAAGGTACGGGCTACAAGCAGAGAGATGATCTTCATAAGCACAACAATTACCGCAATCGATGGACGTTTTGCTAGAGGCCTAGAGAGCGACGAGATTTCTCTTGGGAATTCGTCTGCATGGCTAGTAAAGAGAAGCTGACGCTCAGTAAAAACTTCATTGCCTCAAGTAGGGAACGCGAATGCGAGAGAGAGAATAAGTGAAAATGCGTCAGTCGCCGTGTCCTCGACGGCTAAAAGCCCACTTTCTGCGGCACTCAACGCCATGATTAACGCATGCCATACAGTTTTTGCTGCGAGCTGAGTGGCTCTTTAGGTGGGTTTCTGAAATGAATGCTTCGGAAATAACCTACCATAGGAATATGATCTCGGAGAGTATGGGTTTGGAGATCTGAGACCGTCTCGAAAGAGCATCCGCAGAACTGACAATCGAGTTTGACTTCGTTGTTTTGCGCGACAACCTTCACATCGTCGTCATCATCGTAAGGCTCGGATTTGATGGAACAGCTGTCCGAGTTGGATTTTCTGAAACTGCTACAATTTCATAAATATAATACTATTTATCAAACCCACCTCTTCTTAACGCCTATTTTGCTGTCTTCCTCAATTGGTTGTGAAACATCATCTAAAACAGTACTGTTAGGATTTCGATGCAAATTACAAGAGTATCGCAATGATGGGATAAAAAATAATTTGTGATCAAATAAATACATATAATGATCTATCGATAGTGCATTCTCAATGAGCAAATCACTGCTTCTTAAATAGATTCAAATAATCATACTTGATTTGTTGGACAAACAGTATAGAATGTTATTTTCTATGATTATTACATATTTAATAGAACGCCTTTGAAGCAT